CCCGTGGCGCCCGCTGAGGAGTGGGGGTGTTGATTCCGTTAGAAATAACAGTCGGGCGCGTTTCTTGCCTGTCGCTCGGGGGTGGCGTCTACCAGTCACTTAGTGTGGGTGTGCGTAGTTCAGCAGCTGGCCCCGCGGTTAGGCCTCGCTACATGAAAGACAGAAAACAGTCATGTGTTGAAACAAAAACTTTGTGTTTTTGTAGCATATTTTGTGGGGTAATGGGCACTTTTGGCTGGCATGAAGAGATAGCCTCCTTTCAATGGCAGCTTATGCTGATTTTGATAGACCATTGAAAACATTTTCTTATTTCTGTGCTAGGTTTACTGGAGTTCAGTTCTGGTTGCTGTTCTTGATGTGGCTCCCTCGCTCGTACATCAGCGCGCCCGGCCCCTCAGCTCTCACTGCTACTGCTGCATTTGGGGCTCCCAAGGTTCTGCCCTTGTAATCTCTGGCAAACCAGGTCACGGGTGCTTGTCCCGTAGGTTTTCAGGAAGACCTTGCGGCCTGAGTAGCTTTGGCTAGGGAAGGAGCGTGACCACAGACGCCAGCAAAAATATACAGTTTCTGTTAGACTTAGCAGCATGTTCTTCACACTAGTTATATTTTAAGAATGATTTCACTTGTTTTAATTCGTGGAAGTAATGTATTTTTATGGATGATGTATAGGAGTTTATTGCATTTCAAAGTGCAGCAGTTTGTAGGCATGAGAAACACCAGTAAATAAAGATTTTAGAAATGTTTTTAAATGGTGTTTACTCTAGAAATTAGAGTCGATTTTTTTCTTCCTGTCTGAAAAAGCTACCTGAATTTTGCCCCTCAATGTCCCTCCTAATTATTATTCAGCTATCGATCAATTCATCACTTTTTGTTCCCTTCTGTTTTTGCACTTTCTTCACTCAATTCATATTTTCCTATTTTCCATGATTCCTATTTCTAACCTCGATAATCTTATGAGATTTCATTCATTCTTACATTCATTTTGACAATGAGTATTATTTACATTCATTTTGACACAGAGCCCAAGATTATCCATAGAGGTTTATCAAAAGATATCAGTCTATATCAATTTTCTTCCCTTTTTTTTCCTTTATTATTTAATATCTTCTCTGTTAGTCCACAACTTTCTTCATTAAGAGTAGGTGTGGCTGGATAGACTGCGCTAGATATGGCCTTATCAGTATTTTGTAGAATGGGATTGCTGCATGCATTTTCCTGTGTAGTTGCAACTTTATCTCCTAAAGTACATGCTGGAAAAACGCTCACTGCCTGCTGCAGTTTTGGGGTTAGTTTCCTGCCCATTTAAGCAGGCAGAACTGGTTTAAGGAAGGGTCAGATGAATGTCCGGGCAGGCCCGAGGGATGTGTGAGCGTGCACCTCACCACAGCAGCAGCGCGTGGGTGTTCGTGTGCTTGCATGTGAGGGCATCTCCCCTTGTGGCAGCAGCAAGGCCTTAAATCAGGTCAGCCGCCTCATGAAACTTTATCCTCAGATGCTTTCTCCTTGTTCTAGCCTGAGTTCTTATCTTTGTGCCGGTTTTAATTGTACCGAGAGTCTATTCAACACTAACTTAGACGCTTTGGTTGTCTCTGCTTCATTTGTGCATCCTGGTCTGCAGTGGGTCAAGTTTTTCTTCTATTTTCTTATCATGACCAAAGAATGTTTCTCACTGATTTTTTTCAGTTTTGACTTTATGTTGTTTTCTTATGTTTCTCCTACATCTTACAGTGCTGTTTAGTAAATTGCCTAGGTCTTTGAGGAGCTCGTAATTTCGCTGGAACTGTCCTTCCCATTTTATGTAGTTCAGTACTTTACACATATATCTTTAAAGAGTTTCTACAAGGAACTATGAATTCTCCTGAAGTCTTTTTTTATTAAACATGTTTTCTGAAGAACTCTTACTTATTTTTCCTGGAACTCCCTGAAATTTGCTTCAACCAAGCTCAGTATAAGGTGATGAGTTTGGTAATCTCTCAAAGTCATCTGTAGGTTCACTGTACTCTATAGTTGGTCCTGTCTCATCAAGCGTTGCTTTCTTCTAATTTTCTCAGATTAGGAGCATTGCATTTGTCATCACAAACCAGATGATGGGTCAACCAGCTGTAGACTGACCACCAGCTGTAGCTGTGGTGCTGGTGTTTCACAGCATGGTGTATTAGCTTCCAAGTTCCCTCCTTGCTGTCTTTAATTTATGGTTGGAAGTCAAGTGTACAGACTGAAAACAGGATAAATAGGGTCATTGTGATCTTAGCTGAGAAGAGGTCATATACAATTTAAATAGAGATGAATCATGTACTCCAGACATTTGGCTTCCTTGCAGCTAGCCCTGGAGACCTTTCTGTTTAGAAGATGTGTCATTTCATTCACTCTTCATTTTGAAATGGGTTCTAAAACAAACATCTCAATTAAAAAAAAAAAAAAAAACTTGGTCTTTTAACTTCATGTTGTTTCTGGTGTTTTCAGCCCAAAATGGATTGTATTAGTTTCCAAAAGAATTAACAAATAGCCTCAGGGTAGCTGTTGATTAACTGTTTTGTGTAGTTCTTATTTAACTTGCCTTGCATGGCCAGTGTTTGCAGGTCATTGTACTCCCTAGGATTGTTCACGCACAGACTGTGGTGAATTGCCTTATCCCTTCGTGACAGGGATGGAAATTGCAATGTGTTCTAAAAGATAACTTGCATGCTTTTCTCCTGTGTGTTTAGTTACACTTTCTGGAAGTATTGTTAAATGTTTTGTTTGTTTTACCATAAAATAGAGTTTCGACAAGGGCATACTTTATGGAGAGGTTGAACATGTGGCAGGGTAAAATATGTTGTCTTTAAGGCAGAATTTAAATTGGGAATTGCTTCTTAGTCTTCACTACAAGACCTGGTAATGCTCAGGAAGAGCAAAACAATAATTTAAATGTAGGAAATTGAAATTAAAGAAGAGGGGCAGCTGGAGGCTCTTTGGCAAAAAATGGATTAGCACCTTATCTTTCAGAAAAAGGGAGAGCTAGGCAGTGAAATCCATTTCTTCAGAAGAAAAAGGATGAGGCTTTTTCTTCTCCACTTACTCTGCTGTACTGTGTGAAGTGGTGCAGATGTCACCAGAATGCCTATTTGTAATTCACAGAAGCTGTATGGGTGAACTGTATCATCCACAAAATCTGGAAAATTGTTAGACAAGTAGGATCTGAATGAAATGGGCATCTCTGTGTAAGAAATGAATTTGAAGTATCCAGTGGATATTCTTGCATTTGATGCAAGAGCAATGGCTGTGTCCTACTCTCAGGTCCAAGACAGGAATTATCTTCCCTCTGTGACAAAATACTAGAGAATCCTGTTTATTTTCAAACTCCCGTAAGCTCACTTGTGGTGTGACACTTCCAGGACAGATCTTTGAACTTGCAGCATCAGTCCCATTTCTTTTCAGACCTTTTCAGTAAAGCAGATGGCCAGATTCTCTGTGTGAAAATATCTGTAATATCCCTAAGCCTGAAGATGATTCATGCATTTAAAATCTTCAAAAATTGTG